AGACTAAGATCTGATGGCCAGAAACTAATCAAGCACAAAATCCAATGGCTAAAAATGTTGAGGGCGTGAGAGAGCTCGCTTTAGGCTCGGTTATACTGTCCTAAATTAGGATATTTTCCTTGATTTATTTTGGTCTCATCAGGAACGCAGTGGCTTTAGGATTTGTGTTGCAGGAGCTTCAAAAGAACAAGGCATTACAATTCACGACAACACATTCATCTATTATGCTTTTCTCCGCTAATATACTCTATCACTAAGCTCCATAGGACTGGAAGCCTCACAATCAATTGAGGTCTCCAATTGAAATTTGGTCATCCAATTTTAATCGGGTCAATAATTTCACAAACCTCTCTCATTTAAATTTTTTTATACAATACACTATGCTTCCTAATTTTTAAATCTTCACAATTGATTGAGGCAAATTAGAATTGGGTCATCCAATTTTGACCGGGTCAACAATTTCTCAAGGAGCTCTCCCATTTAATTATTCTAATTCTCTATGTTCCCTAATTTTAATGCTCTTTCATTTGATTGAGGTATTAAATTTTGGATTTGTTTTACGATTTTGATCGGGCCAACCATTCTTCAAATCAATTAGCAACAACCGGCCTATAAATACATATCAACCCCTCGCAGACTCCCATCACCTAGAAAAAAGCGCCACCGTGTGATACTATAGCACTAATACAGTACATTGAACTATCGATGAAAAAATATCCCCACATAATGCGGGTTGATTAACGGATAACACATGATCACATCGCGAAATGCACCAAATAACCACATTATAAATAAATATAAAACACACTCCATCATCTACCCCACTGGCCAAACTAAATATTCCATCAATTTCAAATATAATGGTTATTAGTTTTTTTGGAAAGTCAAATTTCTTTAACTTTGACCAAGTTCAGAGCGAAAAAATATCGAGATCCACAATATTGAATGAAAAATATGAAAATTCATTTCATGATGAATCTAATAACACCGATTTGATATTATGAATTTTGATATATTACTCTACAAATTCGATCGAACTTAAAGAGGTTTGGCTTTTCAAAAAAGTAATACACCATATATTTTGAAATAGAGTGAGTACAGAAATTTAAGAATCCAACAAATTCAACGGCGCAGCAAAGCGTGCCCAACCCTTCTAGTCTGAAATTATTTGGCCTCAAAATGCTAATCCTCTTGAGAGAGCCATAATATTTATGACTATGGTCTATGGATGTTGACAAATTTGATTGCAGCAGGAACTGGCAAAGTAAGTGCACCATTGCTCTTGTAGGTAGAGCATGGAGAAAGTACCCAATCTATACATCCTCGGGTTGTCCATGGAAATCGCTATACAATCCGAATGAGTTACGGTGATAAATATGCAACTGAATGCATATTTATCGATGCAACCCTTCAGAACGGAAGACGCATACTAGTTACACGACTTAGCATGAAAATGAAATCTACTGACATGATTAAAAGATTCGTAGCTCGCCCTTGGCTGTAGAGGAAGTAGTCGAGCAATGGCGGGATCACGAACCAAAAACTTCGACCATGATGACTCCAAGGAGATGAAATAGCACAAAGCCTGTAAATTTTACCAATCGAGTCAAGAATTTAGGACATCACAACTCATAAAGCATCGCACTTCACAGTAGGAAAAAACTTCGACCCCTCGGCGATTGTCGACCCTTGACCCATCGACCCCTCAGCGACCCTCGACCCCTCGGCGACCCTCGACCCCTCGGAGATCCTTGACCCTCAACCCCTCGGCGACCCTCGACCCTCAACCCCTCGGAGATCCTAGACCCTCGACGCCTCGAACCCTCGACCTTCTTTTCCTTGTTTTCTTTCCTTTTCTACCTTTTCTACTTGTTTTTTCCATCTTCTTCTTCCTTCCTTTTCATCTTCTTCTTATACTTCTTCTTCTTCTTCTTCTTCTTCTTTTCATCTTCTTCTTTTCATCTTC